GTCTCATCAGGAGAGTCCTAGAGCAAAAAAAAAAAAAAAAAAAAAAAAGGAAATGTGGCTTTGCTTTCCTTTTGCAGGCACTAAACTGCCCCAGACTAAGGAGTACTCGCTCAAATCCTCTCAAGAGGCAACTGGGAGTACTGGTGCCAGTCCAGCTGAGTGGAACACCCTGCACACACCTTGCTGGTCTCCCACTGTGCAATTCCATATAAATGGACTTTATTTACATGGAAAACTCTGACCACTTGTCTTTGGGCTTGATGGAAAGGAACAAGAATCAGCAGGATTACTGAAATTTGGTTTCCACTCCCCTCCAAAGAATGGCAAGTCCTAGATGGGGAAAACTTGGATTGGCTCTACTTCCCATGGACTGGACAGGGATCAAGGGAAGTGAGGAAATTCCTGGAGTGCTGCTAGGAGGGCAGGACCTGAAGTCCTTTGAATGGTATAAATTGGAAGCAGAGTAAGTTTCTGATGGTCTAACTAATTCTAGTTAATATTTCAAGTGCAGTGGCAACTAAAAGTAGTTGTGATTCATTGTTAGCTCACAAATTCCTCACACAGGCATCCAACATCTGAGCCTTGAAGCAGTTGAATCTCATCTGATTCATAAAAAGAAATGTGTTGAACCCTTGTGTTGAATCATTCTGTTCCTTCTCTATTTTCAAGTTCATTTGGTTTTGCTGTTTTTTTTCCCACCCTTTGGACAATTTTAATAAATTTTATTAAATTTATGGCTCTGCTGCCCTGCATTGCTTTTGGAAAGTGTTCCCTTGTTCCATTCCTCAGCTGTTTAAGGGAGTTTTCCAAGGAGAATCAACACCAGGTGCTTGGCCTGTATTTGGGGACCCTGGTGCAGTGTGAGGTGACATGTGGGGAGGGATCCTGCACCTCCTGGATGGCACCAGGATGGTTTCGGTGTGTTAATATGATTAAAGGATAAATAATACTAAATGTTTCCTTAATGGGAGAAAATACCCAGCATTGACAGTAGTGATTAAGTTCCATTAAACAGTTGTTAGTTTGGACACCAGGTGATTAGTACATCCAAACCACTTCATTTCCAGACTTTGGCACCTTGATCATTACTAAGTCAAGTCATAAAGTTCAGTGAATCAAGTTGTAAATAGTTTTATTGGTCCCATGTTGGAAAAAAAAAAATTGAGGGTTGTGAAATTCCTGGATGATTTCAAGTTATGCATTTCTTAAGTCCTTGTGTTTCTGCTTTTTGTTCTTTAGTTATTCATCATTGCACAGGGTTTAAACTCTGTTTGTGCTTTGGCAAGCACTAAATCCTGTGGGCTAGTTGGGAGCAGAGAGTTGTATTCCTAAAATAAAATAAACCAAATGGAGAGAGGGCTGGAGAGGCACACAGCTGCCAACATGCCATAGTTATCCAAGGGAGGAATTTCCTCAAGGACACAAGAGGAACAGCTTTTACAGCTCCTGGAGAAAAGTCCACAGTTACCCACATGCTGCTAATTATTGAATAAAACACAGAGCCTCATGTTTCTGTTTGTTTGCTGAAAATAATTTTCACCTTTTTGAGAATTATTTCATGTTCATTCTATGATAAGGTGTCCTTCCAAGTAGTTTTTATTTATTTACTTTTATTTTTTAATGAGAATTGAGTTGTATGTCCTGGACATATTTCAAGATGTCAGTGCTATACAACAAGGCTCATTTTAATACCTCTTAAATGACTGGGAGCAAATTTTTGGTTTCTCCAAAGCAATTTGAGGATTAGAAAGATGTGCTGGCTTCATCCTGGTTTAGCTTTCAAATTGCCATGTGTCCTGTTAAGTCTGTTTATGATTTCAGTGACCCTTGCATCACTCCCATGCCACTTTACAAATTGCTGCTGAGGTGTTTATAGCCAGGTGCCTTTCCCAAATGTAAGCGATTTTTCAGGAACCTGCCCAGAAACCATCAGCTTTTATGGTGTGGTCACAGAGATGGTGTTTTTATACCAGGGAAAGGCCTCCCTGCTCCCTCAGAGTGCATGTGTGTGCCTGCAGAAATGGTGTGTGTGCAAGGCAAGGCAGGACAGCTCCATAACTGCAGGGAGAATGGAGGAGGTGACTGCGAGTCACCCACTTACTCACTCTGGGAAACCTGTATTTTGTGGTTTTGCCGAGGAGTTTTTAGGCCAAGGCAGGCAAAAAAAAAAAAAA